TTTGTTTGTTTGTTTGTTTTTTAATTTTTGAGACAGAGTCTCTCACTAGCCTGGAACACAACAAGAAGGCTAGAATAGCTGACAATAGCTGACTACTGAGGCAAAAGGATCAGGAGTTCAAGGCTGCCTCAGAAGAGTGAATTCTAAATACATGATCAAGCTCTGCCCTATATTTTGTCTATTTGTAAACATGAAAAAGCTAACAGCTCTGCTACCTCCGCCCTGAGCCCTTCTGGATGCAGAACGAACAATAGAGAGCTGTTAGGGAAATGGCACAGGGTGTAAAACTTCTAAATAAGGGCCCTCCTGGAGAAGGCCTGGGAAGGAAGAATGCAGTTGTCAAGAAAATACCTGATGGGATCGACTCCCTTGTGAGGCATCACGAAATGACCAAGACACGGAAAACTATGGCAGTCATGGGCTTAACTTCTTCAGTTCAAGAGGTCAGATTGTATTAAAGAAAAAAAAATCAAAAGAGCGTCTACAAGGTATTTCCCCAGTGTCTGTTACTGGGGAAAGAGAGCATTGAAAGAGAGCAGGGTCTCAAACCCAAGGTTAAGAATTCCAAGAAAATGCTCTCTTCAGCAGCACATACGCTAAAACTGGAACAATACAGAGAAGATCAGCGTGGCCCCTGTACAAGGATGACACACACATTCGTGAAGTGTTCCACATTTTAAGATGCTTTGAAGTCCAACAAAGCATATAGAAGACTGTAACCTAAGAGAGAGGGAGGGAGGGAGGCGGGGAAGGGAGAGGGGGGAAGGAGGGGGAAGGGAGAGAGAGAGAAAGAGAGAGAGAGAGAGAGAGAGAGAGAGAGAGAGAGAATCCCAAACAAAAAGGAAGAGGGTAGAGAAAACTTCCTGGACTGTGCCAGGAGCTCCCTGAAGCCCCACCCCCACCCCAGTGTCCCGCACCAGCATCACAGTCAAGCTTTTTTCTTATCTTCTTTTTCCCTTCTGTATGTTTGTTTTGGTTTTTTGCTATGTAGCCCAAGCTAGCCTGGACCTCTTTATGTAATCGGGCTGGCCCCAAACTCATGACAATCCCCCTGCCTTAGTCACCTGAGTGCTAGTTACAAATATGCACCACCACGAAGGGCACAGCTCAGCTTGTTTTTCACTGTGGACTCCGGTGCTGTGCACACTGGGCTCTCTGTTTTATTCTGCGTGCTATCAGATCACAAAACTGTAAGCATCTCTCTAATTTGGAAACAAGGCTCCAAGCCAAGGTCAAAAGAAGAGCAGAGTTGGGGGAGGGGACCAGATGGGCTCGAACTATCATTTTCATCAGTGACTCACCAGGGAGCCAGATGCAGCATCCCTGCTTTTGACCCCAAGTCTCCTGAGAGAACAGAAAAACAGCCTTCCCCTTTGGTTCTGATGAGACGCTAGTTTACCCACTTATCCACATTTTACAGTCTCTAGAAACTCCACCAGCAGCATGGAGGAAGGTTCATGGTGTCAAAGGAGAAAACACAAACTGACTTTACAGTTCCTCTGATTCTAGAAAAGAAGTAATTTTCCTTCCCCTCACCCCTCCTCATACTTACAAGCTAATGACAATGTCCTTTCCGTGACCACATCACTGCCATTTGAATACTAAATAACTACACCTACCGAGCTCTCATTAGACTGCATTCTAGATACACAACATGTATTAACCCTTTCAACAGGTACTATTATCCCATTTAAAATTTTTATTTATCATTATTATTAGTGTGTGCATGCTTGCATGCAATGTGCATGTGTGTGATATGTAAGCACAGCATGCTTATGTGTGTGGGAGTCAGAAGACCACTTTGGGAAATGAGGTCTCCTCTTCCCTGTGGGTTCAGGGGATCTGACTCGGGTTGTCAGGCTTATGTGCCAAGTGCTTTACAGGCTGATCCATCTTGCTGGCCCATTATCCTAGTTTATAATTGAGGGAACTGAAGAGGAA